GCTCACAGCTGATTATTTTCTAGTTAGATATTGTGAGATAATGTAGCTGAGCCACTCTAGAATTTATTAGTTTCATAAAGAGATACAATTGTAGTGGGAAGGGAGGCAAATAGTTCAAAGAAAGGCAATAAAATATGTCTTACAGAAAAGATCACTGGATCTTCAGTCAAAAGACCTAGTTTAAAAATCATTCTTTGAACATTAACTATGTAAACATGAACAAATCATTTAAAACTCCTCTCAGTTCTTTTATTTATAAAATTGGGTGTACTTTGTATTGGGCTTTTTTGAAAATTAACTGAGTTTGTGCATGTGTAAAATTCTTTTAACAGGGAAAGCATTATAAACATTGTACTTTACTTTTCTCACAAGAGAAGGAAAAGTGTAGTTTCCAATTCAAAGGTATTTTTTTGCACATGGAAAAGGGGACTATGCATCTCTTATGGTTTTCATGTAAAATGTCCTCCAAAAGTGTTCTGTGTTTGGAGGTGGAGCTTTTGGAAAGTGACAGATCATGGGAGCATTATGTTCATCAGTGGATTAATCCACAAATAAGTTCATAGCTGAATGTGCTCTTAGGAGGTGGAACTTTGTCATAACCAGCTGGTCACTGGAGACGTGACCTGAAAATGGTGTATTCTTGTCCCTGGCTTCTCCATTTTCTCTCTGCTTCCTGGCTCCTATAGGGTAAGAAGCTATCCTCTGCCAGCCTTTTCTACTATGCCAGCTGACTTTGTACTGAATTACTGGAACTGTGAGCCAAAATGAACTCCTCCTTTAAATTACAGGTATTGGGTATTTTGCCCGCATGATGGGAAAGTGATCTGCGAAGGAACATAATGATGCATAGTCAAATAGAAGCAGGGGGAGAGGAAGAATGGCAACTTTTTTTTCAGTCCTTAGAATTTTCTGGGGCATGGAAATTCTAACTTATTCTTATCTAGTGAATTGCTTTCTTGATATTCCTTTAGTAAAGGAAGATAACTTTGGATGCATCCTTCATCACTACAATATCTAGTCTAGTAGATCAACTTTGTCTAGTAGATCAACTTTGGTTCTTTTTCTCATGCAGGAATTCTAAACAAGAAAAGAGGCTTTGCCCCACTTTCACTCCCAGAACAGATCTATCATCTATTGGGCCCTTGGGATTGGATAAAAATGAATAAGTTGGTGCTAAAGAGATTTTTAAGTGATAGAAACACAGCCACTCTTATCCTTATGGAACACAGTGGAATAGACTGGGTAATCATTTGCCTCTCCGTGTTCTGCTGACTCCACTGAATTCTACTGTTCTGGTTACCATTTAGCATTTGTAATTAGGGTAGATGAGATATGGATAGTTCTTAGAATGAAAGAAACCCAGAAACTGAAAAGATGATAGATAATTACTGCATTGTCTCTACTCTCCTCTTAACTTCAACATGTATTCACTCATTCTTACTATTGATAGATGAATTTGCTTTCAATTTCATGGAGTAAAACACTGGCAATCAGAAAAGAAGGTCCACTTTTCTCACATCAGTTACCTACCTACCAATTAGCATCTGCACCCTTATAGTCTGCCACTCTCTTGTAGATGAGATATCTCCATTCCTAGCAAAGGTAGCCTCTTCAGTTTTCTATAAGATCCCATCCCTGCATTCTCAGGGATATTGTCCAAGAAAAACTCCTTTCAAGAGTCATCATTTTCCTTCCTGTTGAATTATTTCCATCAGTCTACTTATGAGTTAATTTTTTTATAAGTAATGCCAGGATATTCATTCATGTATATGCATGTATCTTCTTGCATATGTGTATTTCTGAATAATAGGTTTCTAGAAATAAACTGTTGAGTAGAGCATGTGTATAGTACATGCTTTATTTTTTTTCCTTGGTGTGTTTTTTATATCGTTTTTATTAGTACATTTGTAAACAATTTCAAATAAACCCTCTCTTTATCTTGTCTTTCCTCATAGTTATAGCTCCATTTCTTTGCTCTCTTCTAACAGTAGAATGCTTCAAAAACATGGCATAGATCAACTACCTGTAATTCTTTCTCTCCTATTCTCGCTTAAATGCATTCAAGTCATGTTCCTGTTTCTACCATTCCAATAAAAGTACAAATTATCAACAATGATTTCCACTCCCTAAATCCAAGTCAAATTTTCAATACTTATTTTACTTGTTCTCTTAGTAATATTTACACAATAAATTGCTTATTTTTTTCATTTCTTGCTTTTTGTTTTGCTTTCTTTTTGATGTGCATTTTCATCATCCTCTTTGACTATCCTCAGCCTTCTTGCTGCTTCCTCTCTTTCTTAAATTTTTTATTCCCCTACTTCCCTCTATACCTACCTTTCTTTCTTTCTTTCTTTCTTTCTTTCTTTCTTTCTTTCTTTTCTTTCTCTCATTCTTTCTCTCCTTCCTTTCTTCTTTCTTTCTTTTCCTCTTTGCTTCTTTTTTCTTTCCTTCACTGAGATATAATACCCAACACCTGCAATTAAAGGAGGAAAGATTTATTTTGCCTCACAGCTTTTAGAGGTTTCAATCCTTGGTCCCTGGCTGCAACGCAGAAACAGCATAGAAGAAAGGCCTGCTGTGGAGGAAAGCTCTGCATATCTTGGCTTCCAGGAAACAGAGAGAGTAGAGGGAAGAACCAGAAGGTGAGATATACTGGGGCTAGGGAATAAATGCCCATGGGGTAAACTCCATCCAATGCTAGAAAGGATCACATAGCCATGCGCTCAGTGACCTGCCTCTTCTGACCAGGTTCTGCCTCCAACAGCACACTTAGCTCTGAGCACTTTTGTGGATTAATCCACTAATAAGCACAGTACCCCCATGATCCAAGTACCTCTAAAAGCTCCAAATCTGAACATAGGAGGATTTGGGGGGACATTCTAAATCTAAATCATAACAGTCTCTGTTTTCCTAATTTTTATGTTAGTGTAGCAGGGCTTGGGATTTGGTCTTCTTTAAAGATACTAATTTTTTGGGGGGTCATTTCATTTAGTCTTATGGCTTTAAATTCAATGGCACTTTAACAATTACCAACCTGGACTCTTCCCTTGAAATTCAAACACATATACATATATAACTTTTTTTTTGTGGTGTCTCCTCTTGGAGTTTAATGGATACATTGAATTTAACAAATCCAATGGAAAATTCTCAACTTATTCTACTCTTTCCTTATCTTTCTCTTTTCAGTTCATATCAAATCAAGTTTTCATTTGAACCATTCTTTCTTCTTTGTCTCTTATACCATCAAGACATTTCTGATAAATTTAACTTCAAAATACAATCAGAATTGATCACATATTTTCTCTTCTGTGATTACTGTCCCAAACCACCATCATTTAATACCAGAATCGTTAAAGAAGATTTCTAATTGATTTTCCACTTCTACCCTTGTTCCTTTTTACTTTCCTGTTAGGAGTGTGGAGAGTCATCTGTTAAATTATCATTCAGATCATGTTCATAATTCCCCACCTCAATCAGAATCATAGCCAATGTTTTTATTTTCTGGAGAAGGGGAGATGAAACCCAGGGTTTTGCACATGCTAAGCAAATGCTCTACTATTGAGTTACATCATCAGTCCAAAGCTATTTTAATGTCAATAAAGCCTTTATATAGTTTGTCCTCTATGGCATACAGACTGCATTTCCTTTTATTCTTCTCCTTACTCTATTTGGTCTTATCACAATGGATTTCTTGCTGTACCTTAGTTTACCAATCACTCATCTATTTGAGGAATTTGCATTTCTTTTCCTTTTACTGCACAACTTGGGCTACCCAGAGAAACAGTATAGAACATATACTGTGGGCCGGGTATTTAGCTCAGTGGTTCTGCTGCCTGCCTTGCAAGCACAAGGACCTGAGTTTGATCCCCGGTACCAAAAAAAAAAAAAAAAAAAAAAAAGAACATATGCTGTGTTTTCAGGGATTCCAAACCCAGGTAACAAATGTGAAAGACAAGAGTGAGTGATGCAGGGAATGTGGGAAAACCTAGGCAAGAACACTTTATGAGCTGGCTTCTAGTTAGTGCAAATAGCTGTTCAATTTACTGGATGGTATCCTTATGTGTCTCTGGGGGAATATAAAGAAGAGAATTCATCCACATCATCCTTTCTTGCATTAGTTGAAGTTTTCCCCCATGGACATTAATCCCCTTGTATTTCCAACTTTCATATGAATGGGTTGAAGTGTCAAGGATCTGCAATACTATCAACAGGCAGTCCTGGGGTAGAAGAAAAGAAATGAAATTAGTCAGAGCCCATATATAACTGAAAAAAGACATAGATGAGGCCAAGAGGATTTCAGAGATGCATATGAGATGTCTGGGAAACTTTTCCTGGAGTGTTCTTCTCCACATGTTCATAGGGCTGACTTTATTTTTGAGCAAAAGTATTTTTCATTTAAATGTCATTTTTCCAGTGAGAACTTTCCTTAAACTCCCTTTAAAAATTATAATCACCTATATTTTTCCTATCTCCATTCTTCATTTTATTTTTCCTATATCACCTTTTAATATTCCATAAGTTTACTTATTTTATTTATCCCAACCTTCCTCAGTAGAGTTTAGGTTATGCTTTTGGTCTGTTTCAGTCATAGTTATATCCCCAGCCTAGTACATACTATACACTCAATATGTATTTGGTTAATGTACTATTCATAAGATGTTTTAAAATGAACACAGTGAGCTTTCATGACATGCTTTGGATTAACTTATGGAACATTCTACTACATGGATAGATTATGTATTTATCTAGCCAAACAATCAAATATTCTAAATATTGAAAAATAAGGTTTAGTAATTTCTAAGTGTGTCCTAAAGTAAATGCAGTACTGAATAAGAAGATTCAATAATATCCATTGGTCATCGAGCATTTATTTGTACAGCTTCTTTATTCTTCTAAGTTCCATTTTAGTAATTTTCTTTTTTGATCCACTTCACTAATTCTCTGTGGAAATAATCGCAAAGGTTGTCAACAAGCTCATTCTTTGTTCTGCCCTTTTCCAGATGTCAACAGTGGGTCCTTATGAGTCAGGAAGTAATAATAGAAGAAGATTCCTGAACCCAAGGTTCTGAGTGGAATTGAATGTGGATAAAATAAGGTAAAATGAAAAAAACTGTTATGGTTAAAGACCTAGAAGCATACATGATGAGCATCATAAATTATACTGTATTAAAATAATTATTAATATTATTCTAATTTTTTAACAAACAATAATATTCTTGGTGATTATGGTTGAAAGGAGGCCAAATAGTAGCAACAATATGACTATTATATACAGGTTTAAATTTTACATATTTGGCACTGATATTTTCTTTTCAAAGAATTAGATGGTATGGATGAGTCACTGAGGTATGTCTGCAACTTGGTTCAGCCATTTATTAGCTTTTATGGACTTGAACGATCTTTTAAACTAAGACTTGTAAAACCTCTGCTCACACTTAAGCTCAAAAGATAAATATTTGGGGGCTGGGGATTTAGCTCAGTGGTTTTGATGCCTGCTGCGCAAGCACAAGGACCCGAGTGAGATCCCCAGTACTACAAAAAAAAAAAAAGATAAATATTTGGCAAATAAATAAGATTATATAATGAAAACAAAAATAAAAAGTGATAGGTCTCTTTAATGTTAATATTTATCAAAAAGTAACAAATGTAAAATAAATGGTAAAAATATCATGAGGTAAGGAAGAAGAGTAGATAAGACTTTACAATTACAATAATTCTATATAATGATGTATTCAATGTTGAAGATAAGAAGCACTGCAATAGGCTAAGAACTTAAGGTCACTATGGTGAAGTGTTATGCAAATAGCAGAAATTAGATGACATATTTGGCTTCTAATATTATAGCATTCTCTTAACACTCATATAATTTAGAGCAATTCTCTTTTCTCCAAAAAATGTTATGGTCCTGTCTAAAATCTCATTAAATAGTGGAGGAGTAAATGAACTTGGTTCACAAACTTAGAAATTAATTGGTAATCAGATCTGCCAGTTATAAATTTATTGTCTCAGTTCCACATTAAATTACAATACCTGCCTTGTGAAAATACTGCTGAGCCTTTTAAGTAGATTTCCTTTGTCATAAAGGAGAATGTTAAGCTTTACCAATGGAGGACTTTGGAGGAAAATTCAAGGAAGAAGGTGTCATTTTCTTCCTGATTTCACTTTGTTCTTGCTGGGCTCCCACAGCATGGTTTCTTTAGTACTGGAACTCCCAATGCTCTGTTTCTCCAGTGCCTTGGTCCCTGTTTCTACAATATCTGTGCTATTGAGAAGCATCCTCAGGCAAGCAGCTTCTCTCATGATCCCTTAGGTGGTTTTGCATCAGAGCATCCCCAAAGGGGCACATCCTCGATGAGATTTCTCCTGAACCTACTTGTGGAGCATTGCATTGGATTCTGAGGCATGACATCTCCCTCTGGACAGCTTTCTCCAGATGGCAGATTGCCATCAAGTTCTACTGGGCCACAGTTGTCCCCTCCCCAGTGAAGTGTGGATCTCAGCCCTGGAAGAAAGTCTTCTTTGAATGTTCTACCTCAACCCTAGGGATGGGGATTATTCTTTATTTCTGCAATTCCTAAATTCTTTGTAGTTCTAGTTTTCCTTACATGATGTTACCCAGTACTCTGCCACTTCAATCCTGTTAGAATTTATATATGTGTGTGTGTGTGTTAAACTTCCCTTGTTCTAATTTCTGTGTGGTTTCTGTCTCTATTGTCTGCTCTAGATAGACACACCAGTGTCTATTATTATCTACACAGGACAATGAGACAACAAACCTGTTCTAGCTGGATTTCATTCTCTACATTTGTTAACACAAGGCTAATTCTATTATCTCTTGAAATAAAGCATTTAAAAATGGTTAAAAAATAAAAAGGATATTGATGATGTAAATATTCTACCCCAAGAAGTCTACAGAGAAATATAATGAAGGAGAAGTTGCAGGAAAAAATACATACTATTTAAAAGAGAGTGTGCTAAAAACATTAATTTTTAAAGTTACATAAAAATGTGAGAATGTTGTGTGTGGTGCCCAAGTCTTGCATTTCTTTGTTACTTTGTTGGCATTGTAAGAAAAAAATGTTCCAATGGATTATTATATACTAAGAATTTGAATTTTATTTTATATTATTTTTAACCTAAATTAACTTCACTGAATAGCTTACTGAGTGGTAAATGGATCTATCAACAGAAAATTGATTATATATTATTATTTTGTGATGAATACTGAATACTCCAGAATTTATTTCAGGTATGTATCAATTTTAGTAGTTGGATAGTGACACCTTCCCCTGCTGTTGTTTTCAGCTCTCAAGAGGGTTACCACAAATCTAAAAACCTAATACAATTTTTGTACTAGTTATTGGGAATTCACTGGTAAGTAAGACAAAAACTATTCCTGTGCTCATGGTACTGCTGGCCATTTTCTGGTATTTGTAGTATGAGCTGAAAAACTTCTTTATTACACAGTAAATTTTTGACAAATTTACATAGCATATTTTTGCCTTGGAAGACCCTTTCTTCCAAGGCTTCATACATCGCAGCTGCTGAAATGGCAAAGTTTGGAAATATAGCCCTGGAGGGATACTTTTGATGGGACCATGAAACCTACCTTTAAAAAAATTTTTTTAGCAAAATCCTATATAAAGTCCTATGTACTTCCTAAATCTTAATGCACACATCCTAAATACAATCTGTATTTACCTACCTTCCAAAGTCAGAAAGGCTATATCTTGGTTATCAGGTAGATTTAGTTCAGCCGGCAATTTCAACAGTGACCCAAGGATTCAGATGATGCCTTCTGGATCTCCTGCAATTAGTGCTGACAGGAGAGAAATGCTTTGGTGTAATTTTTCTCCTATTGTCAAACCATTAATTTGACTGTATTAGCAGCACCTACTTTTAAAAAATTCTCTTACAGGGCCAAGGATTTAACTCAGTGACACCACACCTGCCTTGTAAGTGCAAGGTCCTGAGTTCAATCCCAGATACTAAAAAAAAAAAAAAAAAAAAAAAAAATCACTTAGAATTGCCTGTACTTTCCCTCACAGCAGTGACTATAGTCAGTATTTAATTCAGACTAAGGGCCATACCTAACATTCTCTCCTATATTATATATCTTAAGGGTTTTTATTGCTTTTCATTTCATATGAACAATTGGCTTTATTTTTGTATCCTTGACAGTTTTTTAGTATAATGTCAATTTTGATCAAGGCTATTTGGAGTCCTATATGCCTCACTTATCTGTATGTCAAGTTCTTTTCCCCTGCTTGGGAAGTTTTCTGCCATGATTTCTGT